GCAGCCACTGCATTCCAGTCTGAGCGACAGAGTGAGACTCCAACTCAAAAAATAAGTAAATAAATAAATATAAAAATAAACTGAAGCAAATGAACCTGTGTCAAGTTGGTGCATAATCACACAGATAAAAAAACAACTTCAAGTGGCTTTAAAACCATTTGTTGACTGTACATCTCAATATTATAAAGAATACATAGAATAAATTATTACAAAATTTTAATCCTAACTCATTTTCAAACTATAATCCATAATGTTATTGTTAGCAGTAAGGCCAATACCATTGTTTCAAAACTATTATAAGCATGTTGTGTAAAACAAAAACAGACAAAGACTTTCTCAACAACAACAACCAACAGTTCTCCAATTCAGGCCTGGTCTGGACTGGCTGAAGCCCCTGAGTCTTTTTTGCAGTGAGTAGGACCCTTGCTTTCTCAATTTGCATCATTTTGCATTCTGCATTTGTGTCTATGTAGTAGACCCCAAATGAGCACCTGTTGGGTTGAAACAGAAAAACCCAAGGTGCCAGGATTCTAATCCAAGTCCCCCAGCTCATAGCCTGTCCCAACTGAGGTGGGCCTCTGTGGGCTGTACCCATTTTCCCAGGCCTCCTCTGATCTCTATCCGTGCCTGCTCTGTGCTCTGCTTTCTCTGCTCTTGAAGCATCAGGTACAGGGTTTGCTCTGGAACCAGTGCCTTCCCCTTCACTCCTCGCCTTCAGACCCATTGCTCCTATCCTGTGTTGCCATGCTGGCAGCCATTCACTTTCTACAGAAGGATTTTAACATCTATCATTTCACTGAACCTTCTCCTCATCCCTATTTCAAAACTCCATTTTACAAATAAGAAAATCGAAGCTCCACAGAGTGAAATCTTTGGTCAAGGCCCTTTGACCAATGACTGGTCAATGATGACTTAACTTTTGGTCAAAAGTTCACTGGACAGATACAGGTTTAAAACCACTATTGGCCATATAGACTTTGAGTAAATCATTCATTCATTTATTTTATTTATTCAAAACCATGCATTGACTATGTGATGAGCTGTGTTGGTGTTAGGAATACAAAGGCGAAGAGAGAACACAGATGCTCTCTTCTCTAGGGATAGCGGAGCCTCCCTTTTCCCATCTGTCAAAATGGAAGCAGTGTCTGTCTCCATCTCAAAGACTGAAATTTATACACACACACACACACACACACACACACACACACACACTATAGGCACATACATACATAGTTTTAATTACATGTAATTAGTTCATACATTTAGTATATTGCATATTTAGATAATTATATATAGATTCTATATAATGTCAGTATTAGGAGGATAGATTGTACCAATAGGCTAAACATATAAACCTCAGGTTGCCTTTGACACATCTGGATACTGACAGATGACCCAGAGTTCATGGGAAAACACTGAATTTCTCTAGAACCTGTAAGACCAGAGGTGGTAATTAGGCACTGGCCAGAGGATCTACCCTATGCTAAGCAATGAGTGGTTTCTCCTGAAGTCTAAGAGCCAAGAGTCTAGCCAACCATCCATAGGCACCAACCATCCATGGGTTTCAGGTAAATATCAGATGGCTCCCGAGAGTCCTCTCAGAGGGCAATCCACCTTAGGATGTAGACCTCAGTGATTAGAAACTCATGGGCTTTCAAGGCAGATTGACGTGGGTTTGTGTTCCAGCCCTGCCATTTTCTAGCTAGTGGCTCTGGACAAGTTCCTTACCTCAGCTACCTCAAGCGAAAAAAGGGTGTCATGATAGGACTGACCTCATAGAATCGTTGGGAAAATTAAAGGTGACAATGTATAGCAAATGTTTAAGACTGGAACCTAAGACATAGTCATAATTTAGTAAACAGCCCCATGCTAAGTTTCATCTACTACAGCACATAAGTTGGGGTTTCTCACTCGCCAGCGGGATACTTATGCCTTCTGGATTGCCCGAGGCAGTCAAGGTTGTACTGGACAGAGACCCACACCAGTTCTTCGGCCCTGAAGCAGCGGTGCAAATCTCCCTCTCTACAGGGCTCAGCTCCAAGGAGTCCAGCTGGGTGCATCTGGCTGGGGAGATTAAATTATTTTTGAATTCCTAACTGAATGTTCTTTTAATGGAAACTTAATGACAGGCATTGAAATAGATTTCCTTCATAACCCTCCTCCCGCCGCCCCCCACCCCACGACTCTGTGTTGCGCAGTTCCCGATAACCTTTATTCCCTACCCCTGGACTTTTATCTCCCCAATGACAAACAGCCTTTGCTGGACAGAAAGAGGAAATTCCAGTCATTGTTCTCAAACTTCTGGCTTCCAAAATAAAATGCTCTATCTCCCCTGTCAAGCTTTGATTGACACACACTTCCTGTAATGGCAGACGACAACGGCCCAGGGGCGGGGCCCGGGGCTCATTTGCATTCTTCCAACAGAGGTTTGCCTAACGTTTGTTCGAGTCAGGGGAGGTCTTCCATGCTATTCTCAGAGCCGTGCTGTTGAGGACCCCTCTCCCATGTTATGAAAAATTTCCGGCGAAGACCCTTCCTCGACCCCTCCCCTCAATCCACTCGGAAGTTCTTCTTTAACGTCTGGTTTGACACCTATTAGACGCCCTGCTCAGCTCATTTCTTAGATTTGGCAACTTGGACCAGATATTTTCTTTGTACCCTTTCTCTCTTAATAAATAATTTTTAGACATTTAGCCCTTCCCATTAAAGACAGTCTCCTCCCAAATCTCAACTCCAAATATTGGAGCTTGAGCTAACCTAAGTCCAGGAGGGTTAAAACAGAATCAGAGTCTGCAAGTCAGAATTCCCATAGCAACAGAGATGAATTGGGAAATTCAAGGAAATCAGTACCAAGGAAAATTTTGAATATAGTAATGCATCATAGGATGCAATTTTTCTTGAAAGGAGTAAGAAATGTTGAATTGCTTTTAAAATGGATGAATCAGCAAATGTAATAACATGGCATACCTGTGACAATAGCAGCGCTGATGTGAGCAGCTCCTACTGGGAGGAAATGTTACTGCATTGGAATTAAAAGGCTGCCTTGAACACTGGCATTTACCTATAGGCAATGTGGCTTTCTGGGGCTTTCTGTTTCCCGTTTATTATCTTTATTCCCTAAGCTCCCATGCCCTTATTAACCAACCCCTTTCTTTAAGTGCTCAGCATTCCCATGTGCTTTTGGTTTTAGCCACCCCTTGTAACTATCAAAAGTTAACTGTCATGGCCTCCTTTCCTAAGGGTTTTATTGAATATGTGTGTTAATGATTGCTAGAGGGTCAATGGGAATTTGCATGAAAAAGAAACCTCCAAATGCAGAGTGACTTGTTCCTAATGAAGGAATATTCGGAAGCAGACAGGCTTCCACCCATCGGGAAACAAAAATCTCAGTTGTTCAATGCTCTAAAGGGAATAGACTGCTCATCATTTCATTTCCAGCAATCCCCAAGCAAGCCACCAGTGAGCAGGGGCACACACCAGTGTGTTCTGCTGTGAATGACCTGTGACCATATATTTTCCCTCCAGTTTACAAAAGGGGCTACAGAGTCGTGAAACTTGACAGTGGGTCAGTAGAGAATGCCAGCTCACTCAAGCTCAGGATACCTGATGTGTTTTAGCTGTGGCAACACGTTAAATTGTGGTGCTAGAGTAGTGGGAGGCTCAGAGTAATCCCCATGCAGGCCAGTTGGGCCTGCTGTTGTGGCCACTGACAACGGGTGCATCTCTGAATCCGCCAGACTTCCCACTGGTCTTGGTCAGAAGGACCAGGGTTTGTGTGTGTGTATCTGTCCAACTCAAGCTCAGGCCTGGAAAAACAAAGCCACCCCTCCTGTCAGCTGCCAGCCACTGTCACTTTACGTGCAAAGACTGCCCTAGAAAACTTCAATGGAGTCATACAGGAAGGAGTGTGTCTGCACCCAAGGTCATTTCCTCCTCAGGAGTCAAGACAACGAATGTGCCTAGCCACCTCCCTACTTCTTCTACCACTTCGAGGAGAAAGTCTACCCTCTGCAAGATGATTTTCACCAGGGGCCTGTCTCAATGAATGCACAATAACTGACACTTCTGAAAAGTGCGTGCAGAGTTTCAGAGATTTAATCTGTTAATAATTCACAGAAAACATTTTGATTCCTAACAAACCAAAATGACTACCATTTTTTTCAGGAGACATTCAAATCACACAGGTGGGGAGTTAAACAAAATATTCACAGTAAAAACTTCCCCTACAGACTGATCTGTCCATTAGTAGTGTCCCTTAAAGGAAAATGTGGCATTGGCTCTCAGAGAAAGGAAGCCCCACCAATGTTCTGAGTGTGGGAGCACATCCCATTCCTGTCTTTTTCCTATTTCTCTTGCAGAGAAACACAGGAAACTTTTTCTTCTCAGAAGTATCACTGGTACATTCCCTTCTGGACTGACTTTACACATTCAAACTCCCCATTGCTGTCTTGAAAGAGAGGAAAATACTCTTTTAACAGATTTGTAGCCCCCTAACCCATTTTAATACAAATTGAAAGAAATATCACCACCACTTTCAACTCAAGCACTCTGTCCTTCAGGAAGGTGTTCATAGAAATTTCTACAGACTTGGCTTCTGTCTAAATGTACCACATGAGAAAGTTAGAGCTTCAAATTGTTCTGTGTATGCGTGTGTGTGTGTGTGCGTACGCGCGTATGTGTTTGAGTCTGTTCACACTCTGTTGCCCAGGTTAGCGTGCAGTGGCACACTCACAGCTCACAGCAGCCTGCATCTTCCAGGCTTAGGCAATCCTTCTGCCTCAGTCTCCCAAGTTGCTGAGACCACAGGCACATGCCACCACACCCAGGTAATTTTTTATTTTTGTAGAGATGAAGTCTTGCTATGTTGTCCAGGCTGGTCTCGAACTCCTGTGCTCAAGCAGACCTCCTGTTTTGTCTCTCCAAAGTGCTAGGATTACAGGCATGAGCCACCATACCTGGCCTAACAGTCTTTTATTATTATTATTATTATTATTATTATTATTGTCATTGATTGTTTAGCTCATCTCTCCCAACTCACAAGACAATTTTTCCATTGATAAATGTCAACACCCAAATAAAAATGGAGTCTTTCTTATCAGTAGAATCAAAATGAGAATACCATTGCTTCCTGATTCTATCTAAAGCTCATACATTCTTTAAGGAAACTTTTAAAAAGTCTTGTTTGGTCTGTCCATGAAACTTTTGATGATTTTTGTCTGTTCCCATCAACACTGTGTGATCTCAAATAATCATACTCCAAGATTCCAAGTAAGCTTCTACGGCTTCCATATGCCAGTTTCATGGAGATGCATTGCATGTTCTCATACAGTAGCCTCACAGAGCTACGAGTCTCATAAGATCATGGTTATGGAGCTCAGCGGGTCATTGTGCTGGTAGACTTCGAAGGCTCTTATCCTGCTTTCATACCCCCAATGTGTCGATCACTTCATAATGTGTCTAGTCACTACGTACCTTAGAGAGTTTGCTTTACATGTGTTGAAAAGCCACTGCTACATTTTGGTGTCATCTGTTTCATTGACTTCTGACAAGATGAAGTTGGGGTTGTCATAGCCTCTCTTCATCCTGGCTCTAGCATCCTTTTCATTATAAAGGCACATGGCACAGTGAGGGGTCTCCACTTCCACTGTCTTGCTAAAGTTATGGAAATCCACACGGTATTTCCCTTCCTTGGTTTTGGACACTATGGGAGCAAAACGGTAGCCCCAAAGCACCTCCTCTGGGACATAGGATGTCCGAACTTGGCAGGTAGCACTGGTTGATTCCACTGTGCCATCTAAAAACACCACTAATTCAAAGTCCTGCTGGAGAAGGGTTTCTGCTGCCATGTGGAAGAAGGGGCTGTTGTGATCAATGACATGGTAAATCGTCAGTGGGGAGATGAAGAATAAATTTTCATTGCCAGCATCAACCACAAAATTGATATTGATCTGGTCCAAAATAATAGTCTCTCCTTCAGGAGTGACTGTGGTCTTCAGAAGCTTTCCATATATGTGACTGCCAATAAGGAGGCTCTTCCTTAGATTAGCTACTCGGATTAGGAGACAAAGCTTCCCACCCCGCTTGCTGATAACTGCATTCTTGCTGAACGTAATGGTCTTGGCACGCTTTTTGGGTCTGGATATCTTGGCTAAGATGGCACCACACATGAAAGAATTGATGATAACTCCAAGTATAGACTGGAAGATAAGCAGAAAAATGGCTGTGGCGCACTGTTCTGTCACACACCTGAATCCATATCCAATGGTCACTTGAGTTTCCAAAGAAAACAAAAATGCTGAGGTCAAGCCATTAATGTTCTCTACACAGGGGGTATGATTGGCAGAAGGGTGGAACTCTGGAAGGTCTTTGTGAATGTAGGCTACCACATACCACAGAAGACCAAAGAGGAACCAACTTCCTAAGAAGGTCGTGATGAAAATGGTCATTTTGTATCTCCATTTGAGGTCAAGTACAGTTGTCCAAATGTCCACAAAAAATATAAACCTCGACTGTGCCTCCACATTGCCAAACTCGATGTTGCACCTTCCATCTTTGGAGACCAGCCTCGCTCTTTGCCGAGAATGCCCAAAGAAGTGAATGAAAACCCATTCTCGAAGATGTTTGAACATCTTTTCTGTCAACACTCTGATCTGAAAACACATAAAAGAAAAAAAAAGTATGTTTATAACAGGAGTGAGCTACTTGACTCACATAAAGACCTAACTACCTACGAAGAGATCACTCAAAATTATCTGAATTACTGATCATTTTGGGCAAGCTGACAAGTTTACCAAGCTTATTCTGGATCCCACAAAGCTATTTCTAATAGAAACTTTCCACTGGAAGGACATATTTCTCAAATATAAAGAGGCAAAATAATCATGGAGAGAAATGAAAGAAAACTAAGAAATTATATATTCAAGTGTTTTCTGACCTCAGGCGCACAACCTTAGAAATGTTTGTGATAATCAATTATGACCTGGACTTTTATTTATTTGTTATTGTTCTTTAAATCATCTTATTTTTTTCTTTAATAAATTTGGCTTAGTTAAGCACTAATATCTGTGAAATCATAAGCTTGAAGCACTACTTATGCATTATGAGATATCTAAAAATAAATAACTAAAAAAATAGAAATACTCATTAATATACTACTAAATCATCTTGTATACTGCTATTGTACCCATATGGCAAGAGAAATCCTAATCCAATTCAATTCTCTCACTTATCAGATGAAAATAGTGAGATTATTAAATGTAAAAGACATTGCCAAAATCATATACCTAACCAGTGGCAAGTTGCCGACTAGAACATAACACTCCCTGACTCTGATCTACAGGAACTTCTACCACACTGTGTCTTGGTTATCAAGCTTTATATTTTAAAGTTAAATGTCTCTAAAATATGTAAATATATTTAAAAACCTGAGGGGGTTGCCCATCTCTAAAATATTTTAAGACAGTGTTGATCAAATTTGTCTGTCTGTCTCTCTCTCTCTCTCTCTCTCTCTCTCATCAGAGTCTCACTCTGTCGCCCAGGCTGGAGTGCAGTGGCACACTCACGGCCACCTCAGCATCAACCTGCTGAACTCAGGCGATCCTTCCGCCTCAGCCTTCCAAGTAGCCAGAACTACAGACACACGCTACCATGCCTGACTAATTTTTTGATATATTTTAGAGACGAAGTCTCACCAAGTTGTCCAGGCTGGTCTCTAACCCCTGGGCTCAGGCAATCCTCTTGTCTCGGCCTCCCAAAGTGCTGGGAATACAGGCTTGAGTCACAGTGCCCAGCTTTCTCTCTCTTCTTTAACGCTCACCACTATTTCGAACACAGCTCAGATCTTAACAGATAATCTCGAAGACTTTCTTAGTGAATCTACAAAACTCTTCCTACTTTCTCCATGGTTTGCTGAGATTCCCCAAAGTATTAGTATGAGAGTTGTTATCAATATCTCACACTTTCTTCCCTGCTCCAAAGCTGAAGGACTAGGGGGTCAATGATGTAAATAATATTCCATAAAGGTATCATTATATTTTATTCATTCATACCCCAGCAGCTAGCACAGTCTCTGAGTGCTTGTTGCTTATTCTGTCAACATGGAATAATTCAGTGAATTAATTAAGCTTTTCAAAGTCCTATCTGTTCAATGGTTTCTTATAAATGACATTACTGTGGCTTCCATTTTACAGCCAAATAGTGAACAGTCAATACAGTGGTGAAATCCAGAGCTCATAAACGACTACCTCCTCCCCATTGTCTAAGAGCATCAAGGTGTGCCCACCATGGTTAGCAATGTCTTCGTGGTATTTTTCCTTAAATGCAAATATGTTTTTAAAATAGATCTCAAAAACCCCCCTCAGAAATGTGTTTATTTGTAAAAACTAGGAAGCGAAACCAACTTAATGATAGACTTTAAACAAAGGTAATATTCCATGGCGGTTTTTTTTGGTCAGAGTCTCACTGTGTCACCTGTTGTCCAGGCTGAAGTGCATGGCATGATTACAGCTCACCACAGCCTCAACCTCCTGGGCTCAGACAATCCTTCTGGCTCAGTCTCCTGAGTAGCTGGCACCACCACCACACCCAGCTAATTTTTTTATTTTCACGGTGTCTTGCTCATGGCCTTAACCAAGGTGAAAACACAAGAAACCAACACCAAGTAGAAGTGAAAAGAAAACCATAGTTGTGGTGAATCGAAATGTTGAGGACAGGTTCTAAAGATATAAAAAAAGAAAGAGCTACCAAGGAAACAAACAGCAGTGCACATGCTCAGAGGGCACTGCCCTCATTCTATCCAACCTCACTGACCTCAAATCCCTAAAGAGAATTTGAGATGGCCCCGTGTGAGGTGCACTGAGGGGGAAATGGTCTCCTCCCTCCCCATGACTTCCCTTGCTTGCACATACATGGCTACACCCAGGGGGACTGACCTTCCAGGTACATGGAAGCTCAGCCTTTTTACAAAACTCTTCAGAAAGTGAATCTCACCTTAAATAAGAAATTCTGAAACCAACATTTATCAGTGGAATTGATATTCTCTTTGTCATACATGATAAATCCAGAGATGGTTTCTTATACACTAACTTCTGGGTTTTATTCACCACCACCCTCCTCCTCTAGCCTGCCTTGAATTCACTTTGCTTTTGAAGGTAAATATTTCTGGAGAGTGAAGAAGCACTCCCTGACTCATCTCTTGGGTAAGTTTGGGTTTTCATGATTGTATAAGAATAACACATTATCTGCCAGGCCTTACAAAGAGGTAAAACAAAAGCAAGCAAACTATAACTGTCTCCCCCACCTGCACTTACCCATGTCCTAAACACACTCCAACCTGAAGCATCCATGGCTGGAGAAAGCAAGGAGGTGGGGTTGAAAGTTCCTCTCTGTATGCAGGCTGATTTCTTTTAGACTCAGCCTAATTTATTGTAGGCGACAGTCAGTGGATTGATGCTAATTTGTATTAGCTTGAAAACACTTAATTGGATACTGGAGTTGTGTGGTTTAAGCCAAGGCAATTGGTTGTTCTCAGACCAAGCCCCAAACTGAGTATGTGTTTTTTTTTCCAACCTCACATGGCTGGAATACCGTCATGCTAAGACATGACAAACCGCCAACTAAGGTCCCCAGGCAGCAGGCGTGGATTGGGTTCCAGCATTGCCGTCCTCTCCTTGGCCACGCTCTACTGCTCTCTTGCTGTTTCTCCTAGAAGTCGTGCCCAATAACTTTTGACCAGAAACAGTTATCATTAATCTTCCAGTCTATTCTCTGAAACACTGAGATGCTGAGTTTTCCAGGTGTTCACCAAGATATAAGTAAATACTATATAGACATAGATAAGTACATATTTGCAAGATGAAAGTAAGATTACACCAGGAAGAAACAAGATACCATGTTAATCTCTCTATACAACAGTCACTATTATATAAGAAACTGAGATTTAAGAGAAGTCTTTGTTATTGGATTTATTCTGGAAAAGCTGGCATTTACTGAAGGAGTTTTTTACATGTACGGGGTTAGCCAATGCTGTTGATTTATTTGTTCAGAGTGAGATTTGTTCTTAGAGAATGTAAGGATACAGGATGAATTCATCCACTAACCAAACCCATCATTCACACGGCAGACCTATTATTGCACAAATCCTACTTTGCTTAGACAATGATGCTTAATCTAACCACAGACAGAGCCAATATGTGTTTTATGAACTATTAGGTGATTGGAGATTATCCCTAGTATCTGAGTTATATAACATGCTCAGTTTTGGGGTTCCTTTCTGTTGAAACCAGTAAATCTCAATAGCAAGCATAGAGCTGCACATTAGCTAATATTTACCAAAGTATCCTCAGCGGCCTGGGAAAGCAAATGGGTTACATGATTGCCACGTTTTATTTTTTCTTTAATGCTCCAGCATTCTTTCTCTGTAAACAATCCATTCTCAGAAAATAGGCTTTTTGTATACTTTCCAGATATTGCATGCTTGCTCTGTAGGATTTCAAAAGCAAATAGAATTCTTCCTGTTCTCAAGGAGCTCACAGTCTAATGGGGAAGTGAGTTAAGGAAACCAGCAGTTACAATGTAATGTGGTTTGTTTAATGCCAAAGGGGACAACTTTTTAAAAGATCCATATTCACTGGGATCCACTCTCTGCAAACACACTCTAACTGGCAGAAAACACATCGTATTTCTGTATACATTAATTTACTTATGTATCACTATTCAATGATGATGTGTGGATACTGCTATGTGTGCTGGCCATTGCACTAGACATCAAAGGAGCAATCGTTGACTAAATAGACACAGCCCTTGTCATTGTGCAACTCCCATTCTGGGAGGAGGGGTTGCAAATGAGTCAATAAACAATCAAACTCAGAGTAATGGATGCCATGATATGAAACAGTGGGAATTCTCAGGGGAGCACCTATTCTGAGGGACAGAACAGTGAACACGAGGTTGTGGCCTGAAGATGAGTTAGAGTCACACAGTAGGAACTTTATAAGTACTTGTTGAATGATGATAACTAAATTAATCAATATGCATATGGAAGCAGTGGGAAACCAGGCTCGGTGGCTCAGTCTGTAATCCTGTGCTTTGGGAGGCTGAGGTGATTAGATTGCCTGAGCCTGTGGGTTTGAGACCTGCCTGGGCAACTTGGCGAGACCTCATCTACCCAATAAATAAAAAATTAGCCGGGTGTGGTAGCGTGCACCTGTAGTTCCAGCTACTTGGAAGGCTGAGCGGAAGGATCACCAGAGCCCAGCAGGTTGAGGCTGCAGTGGCCGGGAGTGTGCCACTGCACTCCAGTCTGGGCAACAGAGTGAGACTCCAACTCAAAAAAAAAGAAAAGAATAAAAAGAAAGCAGCGGGCTTGCTTTCACATATATTTCTTAGTATCTGGTGCCTTCCACTCTGAAAAAGATACTTTAGCAGAGACGTCCTGTGCACCAGCACTGCCCACACTGCAGTATGTAGTTGTAGACAAGACTGGGCAGGAGCAATGGATGAATGAGAGCATGGAGGAGCTGGAAGCAGTTTCAAGTTGGCAAATACTGAAAGCTGGAGGGCTCCGGTGATGCACTGGGCTGGAAAGGCAAGCAAGGACCAGGTCATTCCACACTCAGTGTGCCAGCTTTTGTTGTAGAACTAAAGGAGAATTTTTTTTTTGTTGTAGAACTAAAGGAGAAACTGGTATAAAAAATATCCATCTAGTTGTGCTTCAGAGACAACTCATTAAAATTCTAAATAAGTCTGGAATGTCTTCCTTTTAACAACCTTTCAAATTCTTAAAAGTAAACATTTTGCTCCTGAATCCCCTTTTCTCCATAAAAAGACATGCTTCATTTGCATGTAATGCCCACTTCAACCAGTTTGTGCTCATCTTAAGTGAAGGACCAACAGGTCGGGCTCCTCATTAAGAGGTGAAGGACCCAAGCACAGAGGCCTTTCCTCGGCAAGCATCCACTTGAGAACCACCCATTAGGACTTCGGGGTTTCTCATGGCACATTACAATCTCCTTCCCACCCTGGCATGCTCAGCAGCCTAACAGCTGCTATGCTGGAGAGGGGAGAGCAAATGGACCTTGCTGTTATTATGCCTCTGATTTAGAATTACAAAGGCTATCATTTCTCCATAGAAATGAAAAAGAAAAAACATTGACTGCAACCTGCCTTTTAGCTATCCTCTCATAGCCCACGTATAACCTTAGTTTTACCTTTGGACATTTCTAGAGCCAAGATTTCATGCTGGAGGTAGAAAATATGAGCTATGTGGCCAGGGGGCAGAAGTCAGGTGATTTTCCCTAGTCCCTTTGCAACTGTGGTAGAAGAAATTCAAGTTTTTATAAAAATGTACTGCTCTGTTTCAGGTCAACAGTCACTGAATCAACAAACATTCCTTATGCACCTTCCATATCAATGTATCAAATGGGACTACAGGCCTAGCCTCTGCCTTCTTGATTCATAGAATTAAACAAACAATCTATTAAACATCTACTGGGTACCAGGCGCTATGCTAGGAAACAAGCAAGATCACGGTCCCTGCTCTCAAGTTGTTCAAGATCTGTAAATCAAGAATGGCAATGCAATGGGTTTGCTGTCCTGAAAGGATGGAGGATGGAGTGGTAAGGCAGCCACCAAAGAGGAAATCCAACAGGCTGGGTGTCAGGCTTGTATTCTTCTGCACATCTTTGCTACAACAAATGCATCTAACTGCTGCTACAGAGGACTTCCTATCTTCTCTGAAAATCATCTCAAGCTATTAGAGGATAGACATTCAGCTGGATTTGCAAAGGTTCAGAACCCTGGGTGTGAACGCAGGACAGGCCTTCCCAGGTGCCTCACTCCTTCCACAAAAGAGAGGTCAGAAACAAGGACTGGAGAGCTACAAGGTCTGATGCTATTGATGCTTTCATAATGCACACTGTGTTCCGAAGGCATCTCTGGGGCCAGAACTCAACACGTTGTGCATGCAAGGTTGACATAAGACAGGATCCCTGGGCCAGTAATGTTCCCAAAACAGGTAACAGCCACAGAGGCACCATGCCAGAGAGGAAGGAGCTCCAGCTTGAGTAAACATGAACATAAATTTGAACCCTATCTCTGCCACCCAATAGTTAGGCCACCTGAGTTTCCTCACCTGACTATAGCAATATACCTTCAAAAATTGTAGGATGATTTAAATGCAATAGCATACGTAAAGTTCCTAGAACATAGTAACGATGCAATAAATAACAGCAATTGTTATAACTGGTTCACAAATTTAAACTAGATAACAGTTTAACCAAGTGTCACTTGTCCTGGCCATTTGGGGTCTATTATGCAAAGTCAAGTGGGCTGTAAACTATAGCCAATGGAGGAAAAGGCTTCTGAGAGAGTGATGAAGCTTCTGACCAACACATCTTGTCTATAAACTGACTTCAGATCCCATCCTCTCAAAGTGGAATAGAAGACCTGGGAAATGCAAATGTGTTTCATAAAGGGTTTGTCTAGAACCAGGGCAGAAGCCTTCTCTTGAAGAGGCGGGAACAAGATAAAGGCTGGACAGAGCTGTGACATACAGACATGATGCCATTCTTCTCTTATCATAGACCCTGACTAGGATTGGATCTGTGGAAAGCAGTGCCTGTGGAGCTAGCCTAGTGCTACCAGCCAGGTCTTGGTGTCAGTGGGGAGAGGGGGCTGTCTTGGTGCTTGCAGCTAGATTTGTGCTCTCTGTTGAGCACAATTTCACAGAACATCAACATCGGACAAAACTACTCTATCATGATGGATCAGAACAAGGACAAGGCCACTCTGCAATCATATCTGAACACTGACAAAAACATGAACATTGTCCAAACCACAAAATGGCCAAAATCTCCCCTCATCCTGGTTATGATGAGTGACTGCTGCTTCTTTACCAAGAACAACTTTAGTCTCACACCAGTCTTCTCTCTTAGATAATAAGATTTATCAATATACTCAGTGATAAAATTACCTCCCTTTCTGACAGCACCTGAACCAGAGCCAAGTGTTGCTTCCTTAAACCTTTCTCACATCACGTGAAACACACACAAGTCCTAGTCCAGTTCTTTCTAACATCCTCTCAGAGAGACTCCTCAGGGCTGCTGATGGTATAAGTCCTCCTAGCTTTTTTTTTTTTTTTTTTTTTTTAGTTGGGGTCTCACTCTGTCGCCCAGACTGGAGTGCAGTGGCATGCTCCCGGCCACCACAGCCTCGACCTGCTGGGCTCTGGCAATCCTTCCGCCTCAGCCTTCCAAGTAGCCGAAACTACAGGTGCGCGCTACCACGCCCGGCTAGTTTTTGATTTATTGTAGAGACGAGGTCTCACCAACTTGCCCAGGTGGGTCTCGAACCCACGGGCTCAGGCAATCCATTCGCCTCGACCTCCCAAAGTGCTGGGATTACAGGTTGAGCCACCAAGCCCAGCCCTCCCTAGCTTTAAAAAGCCCAACTCCTTCCAAGTC